CTGTTTTCAGCCCCAGGAAGCTGAAATGAGCTCACAGCCAGTCCAGTGCTGACTGGAAATTTCTCCATGGCTCTGTAACTCCAGGTTTTATCCTATTTACTGCAACCCCTCGTCTCTGGAATGACAATGAGCTTGGAAAAGTCATTTATTCTTTCCATTGGCGAGCTCCAGGGATAGTCTCATTTTTTTTTTTTTTCTATTTCCATGAGGCCAAAGTATTCCTGATTTTCTGGAGTTAGTCAATCCAATTTGGAGGTGAGAATTAAAATATTTTCACATGGAAAACTGTTCAGTTAAAAATCCCCAAACTGGGACATTCTTTAGTTCTCCATGGGGAGAGTTGTTGTTACTTACACATTGTTATTTAGGTGGTATTACTTTCTTCCTGAGGTTGAACGTGTATTTTGTTAAGGTCCTTTTAATTTTTTTTTTTTTTTGCTTATTTTTTACTATTTAATGCATCTGTGCAGGAAATACTGGAAAAAATAGTGAGCCAAAGTATGAATGACAAGAAAATGAATCATTTTATCTGGCTGAGATCTTCAAAATTAAAGTGTGAAGACATTGGGAGACAACTTGAGAACTCGGAAAATATTACTTTCATTCAAGCCTGTCTCACCTCTGAAAGTTTAATTTTAATTTTAATATATTGAAAGCCTGGCCATTTGAAATGATAACTGCTTCATACATCATGGATGTCACTCACTCTGTAAATGAAGGCAGCTATCAGGGCGAGGGCAGGGTTAGTTTATTTGATCTTACAAGATGTTCCATAATTTTTCTGACTGTTCACTCCTCTCCTGTGGCTGTAGATCATGTTGGGAATACCAGCTACAGCTAACGAGGTTGAAACCTTGGTCATGTTGCTCCCACTCTGGAGCTTCCCAACAATTTTCTTCCCAAAGCCCCCTCTCCTGAGGCACGGGGCATTCAATTTTCCTAAATGCCATCAATTGACTCGTGGCACCTCTTGCTGCACCTGCAGATAGATAACCCTGATTTTCCCTTCTCACTGACTCTTGGTAAATGTTGGATGCCAGCTGGGATTAGGAATGTGCCTCTCTGCTAATGGGAAATATTGTTTCCAGAGAATTCACAAGTGAGCCCACATTCCTTATCTGACCTGCTTTATTCCTCACCAGCATCAGGACTAAAGGAATTAAAACAATGCATTCACTGAGAAAATTCTTGATTTTTCTCCCTGGGAAATGTTTTGTGAACAGAAAGTTGTATTTTTGAATTCAGGCAGTTTCATTTCTTGCCACCACCGTTTAAAATGTGCCTTAGTAGCAAAAAAAAAAAGAATGTAGGGATGGCAGTGGAAATGTTTTGAGCTACAAGAGGGCAGGGATGGATGGGATATTGGGGAGGAATTTTTCCCTGTGAGGGTGGGGAGGCCCTGGAATAGAATTCCCAGAGAAGCTGTGGCTGCCCCTGGATCCCTGGAAGTGTCCAAGGCCAGGTTGGACAGGGCTTGGAGCAACCTGGGATAGTGGAAGTTGTCCCTGCCCATGGGAATTGTTCAGGTTTCAATGGATCTGTGTGAAATAAACAATTGATTTTATGCAAATTGATTTTAAAGCAAATACTCTATCACATTTTAACTTAGGTTCGTTTTTTTTTTTTTTTTTCCCCCCTTCTAGATAAACATCATGTCAATGGGAACAGAATGGTTGAACCTTTCCCAGAGGGAACACAGATGGCTCTGTTTGGTAAGGCATCAGTTTGAAAATAAAAGCTCAAAGCTCTGTGGTGTTTCTGCTTTCCAAATTTCTTAATTTTAGCCTGACTCCTTCAGGTTTCAGAATCTGGGCTGCTCCTGCTCTTTTCCAATCACTGACACCAGCTAAAACCACTGGGCATTTTGGGAGATGTCCTTTATGCATCATTTCCACATAAAGAAATACACTAAAAATGTTTTTTTTTCTTAGTTATACAAACAGAAAATGTAAATCCTGTCTTGTATTCCCTAAAAATTTAAAAATAATTTTTTTTTTAATGTATGATAATTTGTCTAAGATCATTCATTAGTTTAAAAAAAACTCTGAAGGTGATCTGTGATTGTCCACACTTTAAACCATGCAAGGAACTCCAGCTGTTTGGGATGTGCTGTGTTTGGAGGGTTTGTTACCATTTACATGCCCCAAACCAGACCTGCTGGTTTCTACCTGACCCTGTGGAATTCCTGTTGGGAACCATCAGAGCTGGAAAAGTGGCAGCTGGAAAAGAGAAAAAAAATCGAATTTCTCTGTATATGCCTCTTTTCTATGAAAATGTCATTCTTTGAGCCCATTTTGAAGACTTGGAAAGGTATTTCTCCAGAGAAATTAATTACTTCTGGAAGTAATAAACATCCTAAAATAGATCAAAATCCTCTTTTTCCAACGGAGATCTGGACTTTACCCAAATCTGAGAATTGTCAGAGCTCTCATTTTGGGACGTGCTGATGCTACTCCTTAAGACAAGCCTTTGGGATTTACTGGGAAGAAAAAAGTGGATTTCTCTGGCAAATATTCCTAAAATTTATTGCTGCAGAGAATGAAAAATTTCCTAATGCTGTTTTGATACAAGTGAGTTGTTTACAAAGGATATATTTCTCCATTAACATGTGCAGGATGGTCCAAAGTGCCTTAGGAAATGTATTATATTCTATTAAATGTTTCTCTGTCTGTGGTGCTGAAGTAAATATTAAATCACTCCTTGAAACACATTAATTTAATACTCCAAAAATGATCTTTTCAATTGGTGATGGCAGAAAATGTTGGTGAGTGTGATCTTTCCTGTGGAATTTATGTCGGGGTCGTTTCATGGTTGAAGAGGGGAAATGTTTTGTGAGTGTCACCCTTCAGTTTCCAACATGATTTATTCAACTTCTCTTCAGAATTCCTCCCATCCAGTGTTGCCTTTCTGTCAGTGTCTCCCTCTCTGTGGAATTTGGGAACATGAAGAAATTCTTGGAGTGATGGAATGAGTGATTGTTTTATAATTTTCTTTTGGAGCAAATGGAAAATGATTTTAACCTTTTAAGCTCCAAGGCTGAGATGGATTTAGAGATTCTTCTTTGAATTTTTTACAGCAGGAAGGGTCAGAGGGTTCTGGTACAGTCTGATATTGATGCAGTCTGTGCTGTTTGGATTTTTTTTTTTAAAGACACTCCATTTGTTTTTTTTTTTTAATTTTCTGTGTCACATTCAGATTTCCAGTGTCTGTGATGGGTGTTGGTTCTATCATTGTACACAATCTATAAAAATTCACAGAAAGCAACCGAATTTAATTGGAAAAGTGCAAAACCTTATTAAACAGTGCACTTTGAAGCATTCCTGAGGAGCTCTGTAACATTCCTATCAAGCCTGGGAACTCCCATTCTTTTTCAATTGCCCTAGATTTTCCACAAGGCTGTGATTGCAAGTGTTGGGCTCAAGTGGTGAAAGCTCAGGCTGGTGCCATCTGTGCTGTGAAGGAACAGAAAACCTCCACATCCTGATTTTTGCTGTTAGACCTGCACTGGAATAGTGCACAAACATGACTCTGATGATAATCCCTGGCATTTGTTGGCATTGGCATCCCAATCTGATGGGGAAAAGGGAATTAATTTTCCTGCAGTTCATTTTCCTCCCTCCAACCCATGTGAATGGGAATAAAAGGCCACGTTGGGATGGGGCTTGGAGCATCCTGTGGATAGTGGAATGTGTCCCTACCTATGGAACTGGATGAGCTTTAAGGTCCCTTCCAAACCATTCTGTGATTCCCTGATTCTCAAACAAGCACTAGAAGAAGAAAAGTATCAGTTCGGAATTCCTCTCCTGGGATTATTACTCATCTTATCCACGTGTGATCCTGTTAACAGCAAGTTCTTTGTGTCTTGGGGCTCTGTAAGCTCAGGAGGGAGCCTGATCCAGTCGAATTTCTGACTCCACCTCACCAAGACAGGATTTTCACATCCCTCTTTCAGAAAGATCCTTTAATCCTTTACTAGGGATGAGTCTGGAAGAGCAGTCGTTACTTAGAAGAGATCCCTCGTGTGGATCCTCCCTCTCTGGGGTCATTCCAATTTCCCTCTGTGGGGTTATTCCAGTCTTCCTCTCTGGGGTCATTCCAGGCTCCTTTCTGGGGTCATTCCAGTCTCCCTCTCTGGGGTCATTCCAGTCTCCCTCTCTGGGGTCATTCCAGTCTTCCTCTCTGGGGTTATTCCAGTCTCCCTCTCTGGGGTCATTCCAGTCTCCCTCTCTGGGGTCATTCCCATCTCCCTCTCTGGGGTCATTCCAGGCTCCCTCTCTGGGGTTATTCCAGGCTCCTTTCTGGGGTCATTCCAGTCTCCCTCTCTGGGGTCATTCCAGTCTCCCTCTCTGGGGTCATTCCAGGCCCATCTGGACACAATCCTGTGCCCTGTGTTCTGGGATGACCCTGCTGGAGCAGGAACTTGGACCAGATGACCCCACTGTGATCCCTTCCAACCTGAGCCATCCTGGGATTGCTTAAGAAGATCTGCAAAACCCAAAAGTTGGTTGTGTAGAGACAGCCAGCTTGCAGTGAGATTCCCTCCTGCTTGCATAGTTTTAGATGCACCAATAAACCAGCAGAATAAAATGTAATGCAGAGCTGTAAACACTGAGCCTTCCACCTGCTGCAAAACACAGTTGGATTTCATTCCACAGCTCCCTCTCCTGCAAAACCTCCTCAAGATGCTCCTCCTAATGGTTCATTATTTATTTGATGCTGTGACTGCTTGTTTGCATCAAGGGACAGGGTCAGTGTACTCGGGGCATTGTTCCTGCAGCTTTCCCATCTATAGCAGAACCTCACAGATTTCAAAGGATGATTTAAATGATCCTGAGACTCTCCTGTTGTCTGTTCAGCATCACTCAGCTGCTGGAGGTGCACCTATTGTTCATTAGGATAAAGAAATGTGTCCTTGTTTCTACAATGGGGGAAAAAAAGCCACATTTCGAGGGTGAGGGTGATTCTTTAATGGAAATCTTTTAATGCTCCTCATCTTGTGACCTCGTAATCCAGCTCCCAGCTAAGATTAAAGCACTAAGGGAACATGATGTGCACAGGCACAGCCTCACTGGAGACACTGGAATGCTGCATCAAAAATCTCCTGATGTCTATTCCCAAAATCTGGAGACACTGGAATGCTGCATCAAAAATCTCCTGATGTCTATTCCCAAATTCTGTGACTGCTGCCCAGAGAAGTTGTGGACTCCTCATCCCTGGAGGTGTTCAAGACCAGCCTGGATGGGGCTTGGAGCTACCTGGGATCATGGCAGGGCTTGGAATTGGGTGGTCTTCAAGGTCCCTTCCAAGCCAAACCATTCTGGGGTTTTGTGTTTCCATGGAACAATTGAAACTTGATGTTCCACGATTGTGTTATGAAGGATAATGCCCGTCCAGAAAGTTTTCTTGGGGGTTTTATGGCCATGGATTTATTCAGTTAAAAGTGCTTTGTCTTAAGAGGCTGATTTTGACCTCACACTTAATCAAAACTCAAAATCTGAATATGTATAAGGGGGGGTTTATAATATTTTGAAAAGAAGCAGTTTAGGGTCTAAATTCAACTTATTTACCAGGGGTAAAAAAAACCCCAAATGCCTGAAAGTAGCAGAACATTCACGATTTCAAGAAATTAATCTTTTCCTCAGCACCACTGTAACTCTTGCATATTTTAAACACATTTAAATGCACTTCTGCATTATCATAAAATCATGGAATGGCTTGGGCTGGAAGGAACCTTAAAGATCACCTCATTGCAACCCCCTGCCATGGGCAGACAAATTATGCTCAGATCAGGTTTCTGTTGAATTTTAATCACTCTTTTTCCTTATCAACTGCTGCTGGTACAAGACTCCAGTTTATCCCAGAGCATCTCCATATTCCCTGAGATTTCTGTGTCACCTGATTTCTCCAAGAGGAAGCATTGTGCATATGGTGTGTGCATAGAAGGGCTCTTATTTACTCCCAGTGAAATCTGGCAATAATTCAGATTTGTAATTACAACACTTTTAAAATGTAGGAGCACATTGAACTGTATTTGCTTGACATAGACTAGCTTGTAATGGGATAATTGGTTTCTTGATGTAAACAAAGTGCAGACAGAAATAGGATGTTAAGGAACTGATAAGGTCTAATTATGGATATTTTGGAGCTGGCAGATGGATCCAGGCCTGGTCACCTTCTGCTCTGCACTTATTAGACAGCAGCACATTCCAGTAATTCCATGGAGTTTTGTTATTCCTGTGTTTTGCCTGAGTTATTGTGTCCTGTCACAATTGCATTCACACTGCTTCCAAAGGTTCTTTAAAAATTAAACCAGGATCCACCAGGATTGTCCAGTGAGATCTCTCAGCCTATTCCTGAGGCTCCTGGGTCTGGAGCCCTTGGAAAACTGAGCTCCTCCAACACACCCTGATCTTGGGGGCTTCAGCTCCTTCCCATAAAGGTTGGATGGGCTTGGAGCAGCCTGGGATAGTGGAAGGTGTCCCTGCCCATGGCAGAGGAGTGGGACTGGATGAGCTTTAAGGTCCTTTCCAACCCAAACCATTCTGTTTCTGTGGATAAAGGCCTCATTAGGGCAACTTCTCAACTAAAAGAACATTATTTCCATTGGAAGTGGGATGATGTGTTCAAGAATGGATAAATCCATACAGAATTTCTTTTCGTCACTCCTGGAACAGCTGCTGGTGACTGAGTCAGAGAAGAGCCAGTGTTAGGA